ACGTAAACGTTAAGTTAACGTAAAGTAAAAGAAAAGTAATTAGTTGTTGGTTGGTTGGTAAGTAACTACTTAGTTAGTAAGACGTACTAGTAAGAGAGTGTCGTTGTTATTATATATATATATATATATATATATATATATATATATATACTCATTACAAGTCAAAAAAGGTAGTTATCTCTCAGTACAAATATTATCACTTGAAATACTGTTTACAGTTTTAGTCTCCTTATCTAAGATAGGATATTGATTTATTGGAAAGGGATCAGAGAAGGGCCACTAGGATGATTATGGGGTTGAAAGGGTTATCTTATGAGGATATGTTAAGACCTCTTAATTTATTTTTCTCTGAAAAAATATTATGGGTAAAACATGATCTTATTGCAGCTTACAGTATTATCGGGGGGAGGGGGGCTAGCATGAAGGCCCCCAATTTCTTTGTGCTATAATCTTAAGATAACAGGATGAGAAGACAAAAGTTAAAAATTTGGAAAAAACAGGCTAGGCTCCAGTTAAGACAATTTCATTTTTCCAACAAGAAGATTGACTTATGGAGTGAGTTGCCAATGGAAGTAGTGGGGGTCAGCACTTTACACGAGTTTAAGAGGGAATTAATGATTTCCTGACAAATAAAAGTGGATTTAAATTTTTACTTTTCCAAAGGGTGGGTGTGCAAGAAGTCTTAAAGGACCAAATGGTCTCCTGTTACCTGCATGTTATGTTATAATGTATCTAATGTTGTCAATTTTTAGTAGATCCTATAGATATGAACATACAAGTTGTTGAGATAACAAAACTTACTTTTTTGAATTTCTTGCATCCTTTCCACATATTTTCTCACACTAGAACCTAAGAAAATGTACTTATTAGATTGACAATATCATAACATGTATGGCTTTGCTATCATCTTCTTTGAAGCTGCTTTATTAACATACACTGTTTACTTTTACATAACACTCTGGATAAGTGCTATTATTAAATTTTTAAATGTTAACAAACATATATGGAGTGATCTGTAGTACAAGTCATATACGTGTACAGCATATTTGTATTGTTAGACTCTTTTTTTATATATACATAGGTGTAATTTCTTTTTACTATATCTTCTTTACATATCATCATTTGTACAAACCTCTATAATACTATTACTCCTAAATCTAACAGGATAGCTCTATTCTGTTGTTACAAGACTAAAACTGCTCTGAAGAAATGTTGTTGCAATCCAATTATGTAATATCATACAAAACATTATGTACAATAAATATTTTATTAAGTTTGCATATGCAAAACAAAAAAAAAAAGATTATTTTAAGTTAATGATTAAAGAGGCTGAATAAACACCTTTATTTTAGCTAGATGATAAAAATTAAGAAAGCAAAAAGGCATGTGTAGTTATCAACTGCTTTACCTTAAAATTTCCCTTGACTTGAGCTTTGAACTAATAAGAAAGCTAGCTTTATAATGTATTACTATTTATTCACTACCAGTGTGATTTGCTTTAACTTGCCTGAACCTTTTTGGTGCAGCTAAGTTCTGTGCTGTGGATTTATTTTTGCATTAACACTTAAAATATATGACTGGTATTTTCTATATATGTATTATATATCTGATATGTTATATGACACTGAGTGTACTTTCGACCCATTCAGTAGGTTCTACCACCTGCTTTCACTCCAAAAACAGAAAACTAATCATCGAGTTCAATCCTGATGCTCCAAATATTTATTAACCCTTTCTTAAACTTTTGTCAAGTTGCAGCCTCTACCACTTGAGACAGCAATTTGTTCCATAAATTTACTTCCCTGTTGGAAGATTGCCTCAATATGAAGTGTATAACCTTTTAAAGGATATTTATAATTTATTCTGACAGTTAGAAGCATCACTTTTTTTTTTCCCTGAAGTGATTGTTAAAAGTTAATAAAATCAAATATTTAATGATTTTATTCCATTGAGTACATATAGGTTAAATACATGCATACTAATACTTTGGAAAACATACTTACCACTGTCAACAACAGCTCTAACATGTCTATATCTTGGGTTTTCTGGAACCTTTTTATTTAAAACCTGTATAAAGAATACCTTACATTTCTAGATTAATTATGCATCAAACTATACAATTTTATAAATTTAGCTTGAACATGTAATTGCATTTCAGATATTATTTAGTGGATGAAAAATACAAAATCACTAATTTGTTAATAATACTTTAAAGCATGAAAAAAAGAATCATGTTTACACTCATATTTTAGAATACAATGGAAATGATTCAGTACTAAATAAAATATAATGTGATTTACATTCAAGCAAGCATATATTCTTAATCAAGAAGCAAATAAAATAGATATAAAAACCATCCAACTTTTGCCAAAGTAATAAAAAAATGTAGCAAATTCACCAAACTTTCCAAATGCACATTTTTTAACACTTATTATTACTAGATGATTTTCTAATATTCTTAAGTTTAAAAACAAAACAGTAATAGTGAAAAAAATTTTTTTATAATTTTTTTGTAAGAGATTTAAGCAGCTAGGTCTGCTGTGACAGAGATCACAGTGCTATAAGTAATGTACTTTTTAATATCCCTATACTTTTATTATCAAATAATTGTAAGTACATATATATATATTTATTATTTTTATTTATGAAGACAAATGTAATTTCACTAACTTGAATATATCAGCAAGTGTACATTGTGAACAAACACCATTCAAAACCAGGAATGTGATAAGTATACTATATTGTGTTAATGTACTGTTTCTTTGGTTTGCTAGCTCACACACACATATATATGTTTATAATGTTTGTTACACTTTTTTTTTGCTATATTATATATGGTTTTAAAAGGTTTTTCTAGCATGATTGATTTAATTTATATTTTTCAAGAGAGCTTCTGTTGCATTAGATGAGAGCACCATTGGAGGTCTTTCTTGTTCTTCATATTTCTGAATTTAAGAAAGTCACTTTAACAGAATGCTACACCAGAAATTAATTAATGAGTTAGGTGCTTGTGATATTGGTGAAAAAGTTAGATTGTTTAGATGGTACATGTCGAAAAAACAAACAGTGGTGATAAATGGGAATTTTTCCAATGTGTTTAGCAGGATTCTTCTGGAAAGGGATGTGCTTTTGGATCCTTTGTTGTTCATTATTTATGATGAAATTTAGACAACCTCTTTGGTAGTAGTACTTCTAACTTTGCTGAAGAGATTATAATGCTAGAAATGACTGATAATGTAAAGAAAGATGCTTGGCAGATATTCAATAAAATAGTTTTCAATATTGAGAAATGCAAACTGATGAACTTAGAATATGAACATTTGATTGAGAAGAATATCAATAAAGGTATTGTGGAGGGGAAAAAGACATAATGTTTGGTAAAACACAGAAGCCTATAGCTGAGTGTTTAGCTGTAGTAAAATGAGCTGACAGAATTATAGGATCTATTTATACAAATTTTGAATTTAAATGCAAAAAAAAAAAATATTGTAATCTTGAATCAAACTTTTATTTTTAGTTTCCTCTTTACAAGAAGGATATTGACTTGTTGGAAATAATGCAGAAACAGAATATTATTATGGTAATACTGAGTTTAAAATAATTAAACCATGAAGAAAAGCTTCAGAGAAATGGGCTTGTTATTTTTCTGGAGCAGAGAGGAACTACAGATGACTTAATTCAGACATTTTAATATCCCAAAGAATGTATAAAGAAATGTCTAATATAATACTGTCATTGCCAATTGTTTAATTACTGTAAAAATATTTCTTCCTAACTGTTATAGTTGATACAGAAGATAACTGTTAGTTTTAACAAATAGTTAGTTAAGTACTAAAAGTAACAGAAATACAGTAGGAAAATTCTAATTCCATAGTCCAATGTCATCTGAGTTCTATAATTACGAAGCGTAAAGGTATGTAATGCACGGCTGGCACTGCTAGTAGCAGTGCTACCCCAGTACTCAGTAGGCCTACCCTGGAATTATTTTCCACTCAAGTTAACCAAAACATTCTCATATGTGGGTCTAATAACATTTATAAATATTTTTTATTTTGCATTCACATTTATTTCTTGCCTGTATTATTTCTTTTTAAACATGAAAAATTCAGCAGAGAACAATTCTAAGGCAACAAAAGGCCTATTAAAAATTAAGGTATGCACTGTGTAGTCTCACTATTATTGTATCACTGTCAGCATGTATTGCCTATTCTTACTATTATATTAATATATAATAGATGACAGTAACTAGTAAAAATGCAGAACTGAATTGCTGTACTTTAGATTTTTTTATTATGTTTTAGTTTTAACATCTTAAGCATACTAAACACCAAGCATATATATTACTAATAATAAACAGTACTATTATTTATAGTAATTAGTATCAAAAATTGCAAAATACAATATTTACAACAGACATCTAAATTCATTATTATAAATAGAAAAACTCTGAAATTCAATGTCAAATGATTTAGACCAATAAAGTAATATCTGTGCCATAGGTCATAAATAATAAAACAACAAAGATACTACAGTAAGAGCATAGCCAAATCCCTTACTAATATTACTATTAACTATTATTAGTAATTTTCGAGTTTATGAAATTGAAAGCTGTTCAGTGAACTTACAGCATCCCTATCTGGTTTCTTCTTGTAACCATATGCCAATCTAGCCATTGAAGACATGTTTTTCTTTGTTTCTAATATGATTATTAACAAATCTTTGTATTATAAAATCAAAACGAAATATCACAGGAACAGTTAAATAATAAAAATTGACTTATTTTAACACTTCGAACACATATACTTGACGCCTGAAATAAACATCTTAAAATCTCCATAACATTGTGCGCCCTCTTTTGTCATAAAATATTTCTCTTCGCAAGCATTAAAGAGAGAAACTAAAAAAAAAAAAAAAAAAAAAACTGCGAGAATTAATTACATTAAATAGCTTATTACCAAACTAAAAGTAGTAATTAATTTACTAGAATAGC